TGCATACGGCTCCAGCTCACAGAGCACCAACGGAGCAAATCTGCCCACATTTGGATATCAACAGCACTGTTCATCAACATATCTTTGTATTGCTTATTCAGACCGCCTGTGGCTGATTCGATTACTATAGCAGAATCAAAATCTTCATCATTGTTATTAGCAGCACAGTAGGTCTCATATGCAATACGGAACCGGTCCACATATTCTATCGGGCTTTCACCGGTTCTCTGTTTAATCTGGGTCACACTACTCCACGGAAAAGAACCCCGACCCAGCAATTCTTTCACAGCTGTTTTATAATCAGAATAAGCCACACAAAACTCACCCCAATTTGCAGGGACCCGAGGGAAAAAGTTCACACCCTGGACAGCCCTTAATTTGGAAGAAGGAACTAACCCTTCGACCAGCGACTGGATATCAGCAATGCCTAGATTTTGTTGCCTAGCAACAGCCTCTAGCTTGTCCCATAGACTTTTGTTTGGGTTATACAACTTAAAAGGTTCCAACCCTGCAAGCAAACTGTTTTTCTCAGTGGGTGTGAGTCTGACCCATTGACCATCCTCACATCCTGCACCCATTTCAATATTCAACCCGGCCCAGTTCGTGTGTCGAATCGGGGCGGCGGATGCAGTAACATTAGGTTTAAATGCCTCCATGGGAGTCAGATTAAGATTTTTGACCCCAGAGTTATATTTAGTTTGTTTTGCTTGCACAGAAGGAATCTCTGAACTGTAGGGAGGGGGAGTTGCAACAGCCACATTCAACAGCCCGCGTACCTCAGCGTAGGGCCCACTATTTTGGTTATCAGTCTGTCTGGCAGAGCCTGAAGCGGCAGCCGCCTGAACAGAGTGAGAAGGGAAAGAGGGGGCGGAGGGAGTAGGAACTTCCTCCTTTTTTACAGCCTTTTCTGCCATTTCACACAATGCCTCAAGCCCTTTGCTCAAACTACACAGATCACTGCCTATTTCATTCCCAAGGATTTTAGCCATCCTGTCACGTTGGGCAATTAAACTCTTCCAACCATTAATCATGTTCGGGATTGCCTTTTCAGGGGTTAAGGGAATTCCACCCATTTTACAAATCCATGAATAGGCAAACACGGACAAAAACTTCACTCTGTCAGCCTCTTTCTTTTTTTGCAGCCAGTCAATCTGTTCTGTGACTCCCCAATTAGCATCAAAACCCTGGCTGACCATTTTCTTAATCAGTTCTGCGTATTTTTTTGATTTGAGCGCATCAGAGAAGAGCTGTTTACAGCATGCACTCTCTTCAGCCTCATCACTTGGGTCAGAACAAATTGAGATAACCTTTTTATCTGTCATTGTTGGTCACAGGTGAAACTCACCACAGAGAATGTTCTTAGCAGCAAAAATGTTTTAGCAGCGAATTGAAAAATATGTTTTAAATGACAAGTCTGGACTTCTACACAAAGAAACCACAAAGTATTTTTCACTCACGACTCCCGATCATATATTCTGATCCATGCCAATTTGGGTCATAATTTATTTAAGGGGATCGTTCTTGATGCATCCCTGGCAAACAACCCTGTCTCTGTTACTATATATATATATATATTTTTTTTTTTTCTAACTAATTTCTCAGTCCCTAACTGCCTAATCCACTAAATTCGGGGATCCCCTTTCTGAGATGGAAGAGATATAGTAGGATCACGGCGCCCTGGACCTTCAATCCAGGGACGTACTCTGCTGGGGTGTTGCTATATCAACAATGCCCAGTGGGGCCCCCACAGAGCACGCTTCGCTTGCGCTGTCTGCTCTTGTTAAATTTTTAAACAATGCTATCAGCGACTTCCTTTTATACTTTAACCTTCAGTATAATTAATCTTCACTCTCCTCATCGGAGTGAAGCTCTTCCGTTCCCCTTCAAATCTCTTCCATTCAGACAGACCTATAGCCTATAATATAATAAATCTTCCTACCTTGTTTGTTGGTTTGCCAGGGGTGTCACCTCAGAATGATTGCCCGCGCATCCGCCACCAAACTGTTAGGGGGGGTAACAGTTTCAGACCCAGGACCAGAGATGATGAAAGAAGACCAGGAGTCGTGATGTTCAATCAAAGAGTAAAATTTACTGAAGAATAGTTTGCAGTTTAATTGGCAGAGTCAGCGTCAAAGTCTCACGAGGAGGTCGCAAGCTAACTCTACCTTACATGAAAATCGTACACCAGTTATACTGTTTTCAAGGGCATACATTACATAAACATTCACTTCTGATTGGCTCAGAAGACATAAAGCCTAAACAATTACACATAGATAGAAGGGTACGTTGACATCAATCAAGATAGCTGTCATCCAAGTCACGAAGATCCAGTAATGACCTCGGAGGGCCCATCGAAAAGCGTCATGAGACCAGCCACCCCATGTCATGAGACCTGCAACATACTGATAAAACCTTCCATCCTCAGAGAGAAGAAATAACAATTACTTTACTTCTTGAGAAATATATGTATGAAAGAAGTAAAACAAATCATAGAATCATACAGAAATTGACCCCTGCCCATTAATAGGGTCAGCAGAGAAACATGATCATATGATGAGGGTTTTCTTTAAGTTTAACACACTCATTAGTATACATACGGACAAAAAGCCTGTATTTAATGTTCTTGCTCAGGGCCACAGAAGATTAGTCCCAGACATCATAAGACATTCATGAAAGATAGGCCTTCACCCAACATTCAGGAAAGAGGTGCATTCAACAGAAGTATGAATAAAAACTATATGTGAATCATTTATTGCGTATAGGAATGATTATATAACTTGATTAGTGCTTATTATAGTAATAATGTAATCATAAAAAAGGATATACATATAGTTAAATTGAAGAGGCAAGGGATTCTGACCCCAACCCTTCACCAGTTTCGGCCATGGGAGGTGGTATGCGGGCAACATACATAACCACCAGCCAAACTCCAATACACGAATAACTCGCACGGCTTGTGGGCGTGCTTGAACCTGATGTCAATCGCGTCTATATGAGACCGGCCTTTATAATTTAGTGTTGAGATGTTGTTCATTGAGTCTCTAATCTCTAAAAATCTCCAAATGAACTGCGGTCTTACGATCGTGTCAATTGATTTGATTAAAGGTGCTCTAAGCGATGTCACGCGTTTTTTAGGCCAAAACATTTTTTGTCACATACAGCAAACATCTCCTCACTATCCACTGGCTGCCTGTCCCCTGAACACACTGTAAAGAAACGCGATCTCTGTAGACAGCCCAGGCTCCACAAACAGCAACAAAAGCAAACTGCTGCGACCCGCTCCCCGAAACATAACAAACTGTTCCAGCCAATGACCGACAAGAAGGGTTTGGGGGCGGGGTTTGGGGGGTTAGTGTGCGGATGAGGAGGAGGGAGGGTCTAGCTAGCCTCCGTTTTGTTTGACAATAGTTCGAACGTCAACAAGAAGTGATGTCACCCAGGATCGCTTAGAGAACCTTTAATATGCGCGAGGGAGAGAGAGAGCAGGAGGACAGCGCTCGTGTTGTTTGAAGACGTGAGAGTGCGCGCGCGCGGCCGGGGCGCTCTCTCTCTCTGCTCGTTATAAGCCCTGTCAAGCGCAGCAGTCATTATATTCTACATCACTCACCGATCAAAATAGGCTTTGGCGGGACAAAGCAGACGATTTGACGGTTTTAGAAGATTAACAACCCGCAACTAAAAAACAAGACTAGAGTAGGCCAACTTTCTAGGGGTATACTGCCCCCATCTGGTATGGAATATGTGGATTTTGAATTGATTTTTTTTACACAAGGCACCTTTAAAATAAGCTAAAAAATAAACTGTGATCGTCGAGTGGTAGACAATTGAACTTAAATAGAAGTGTTCAAGCTAAACATAAACATATTCCACCATGTATTTTTCCTCGTCCACAGTCGGTGATGCAGGGAGTCTTGTGATTGGTTTTCAATCCAGCCAATCAGAATTTAGCAGCCTCATCTCTGATTGGCTGGAATTATGGCATATTGTAACGCTGGGTTGTGTTGAGCACGCGAGCCGTCTGCGCTTCGAGAGCTTATGGCTGGTATGAGAGGAGCAAGAAAGTGAAACTTTGCACATGCGAAAGAGAACGTCTGTGCACATCCAAATACTTATTTTAAATGCAAAATTGATTTTCGTTCGCTCGAAATATTTTCTTATCTGCGAGACGAACATTTCTCTGCAAAACTCAGTTCACGCGCGTGCGAAATGCCCTTTTGCGCGCTCAAAATGTGATTTTGCGCGCGCAGAATTGTGACCGAAATCTAATCCCATAGGGACTAAGCAACGGAAAAGTATTGGCGGATAATTTGAATCTGCGTCGCGCGCGCCCGCCGCCCGCGCGAGCACACACACACACACAGTCGCACGCACACAAGGCCATGCAATGTGTGCAGCAACGCAGATTTGGAAAAATATTCATAAAACACATAACATGAAATTAGGGGAGAATAATACAAATGATTATCAAAATGAGCACATTTGCAAGACAAGATTAAAATACGGTCTGAAAGATTTGCAAGACTTTATTGTTATACGACTATAAAGATTTTATATTCGCAAGACAAAATTTAAAAGACGTATTTGTATACAGTAGGTATAGCTACAAACAAATTATTTAACCTTAAAACTCACTTTGACACCCACATGCTTAATGATCTTCAAGGACAACATGTTAAATGACTGCTGATATTTCTGCAGTTATACCTTCTTTTCTTTGTTTTCTAATTTCACAGAAATAATCTGTAAAATATTACTGAATATTTAATGTAAAATTACACATAAACTTGTAAAAATACAGACAATTTCCTTAAAAAAACGGTAAAATTGATGTAAAACCAAAATACAAACAATTACTTGTAAATTTAAATTACAGCAAAAATCTGTAAATTAACAGGTATTCACTGTATAATGAAAAAACGACAAAATTCTGTAAAAAAAAATACAGGGCGTTACCTGTAAATTAACTTTTTTTTTTTACAGTGCAACTTATAAAACACAAATCTTGTGGCATTTCACGGCAACACTAGTTTATTAGTTAACTAACAACACATTTACTTTATGTGAATCTAACAAAACATTTGCTCACTGTGACACAGAACAATGCTTTCTAATATGAGTCACTAGATGACTTGATTGGGTGAAACTTCTCTCACACTGAGTACAGGCGTACGGCTTCTCTCCAGTATGAACTCGCTCGTGTGATTTCAGGTTTCCAGCCTGAGTGAAACTCTTGTCACAATAAGAGCACTTGTAAGGTTTTTCTCCAGTATGAATTCTTTGGTGCTGTTTCAGATCACGAGATGTAGTAAAGCTCTTCCCACAGTCAAAGCACACATGATCTCTCACTTCATTGTGTGTTTTCTGGTGCAGTTTAAAACTGTCCAGCCTTGAATAACTCTTTCCACAGAGAGAACACACATAAGGCTTCTCACCTGAATGAACTTTCAGGTGGTGTTTTAGATGTGCTGATGAAATAAAATCTTTACCACACTGATCACAGTTAAATGGCTTTTCTCCAGAGTGAATGCGCAGATGATGACTGAGAGTTGGTGCATGAGAAAAACTCTTTCCACACTGAGTGCATGTATACGGTTTCTCTCCAGTGTGAATTCTCATGTGTGTGTTAAGGCTTCCTTTATGTGTGAAACTCGTCCCACACTGAGTGCAGGTGTGCGTCTTTTTGGCTTTTGTTCTTTGAATTGTAAAGTTACAATGTTCCTCCTCCACTTCATTCAGTTCTTGTCTTTGCTCTTTCACTCTCACCTGGTCTAAAATACACAGAAATACAGTTAGAATCAGTTCAAGTGAATCCTTATTTAATAGCAGAAAACAACAGAGTTTAGATCTTTCACTTGTTATTCGGTCATTCATTGTTAATATAGTAAAAATAGGTTTGACAACTGCTATATACAAGGTTATGATCATTTAGATGTATTTTTCTATTATTTATCATCCATATACTGCTTACTAATTCACATCTACCAAAACATCAACAATGAAGAATCAAGAATGGACACCAACCTATTTGTTCCTCAGTATCTTCATGTTTTATTCTGGATGGTTCTGGATCACTCATGTCTTCAATCTCCTCTTTAATAAACTCCATCTTTAACAGTCACACAGATTTCAGCTGCTACTCCTGGAGTTTGTGCTTCTCTTGTAGGATGATGGGAATATTCCCAGTATTTATTGGTGAATTGTTGTGGGAGGGGCTTCACTGCAGGTGTGAACTGTGATCACTGTGTTTTTATCCAATCTGCATTAAAAAGTACAGGGCCATCATGTTTAACTGAGCAGCTGAAAAACCTCTTTGTCTCCAAAAGTTCCCTGTTTTCAGCTCATTCATTATGGTGATGTCTGAGATCTTCTGTAAATTGGCACATTAAATCGTTTTATTGGTGTCAACAGGCTGAAACAAACTACAGCATCATCACCTTTAACTTCAGTTCTTGTCTTTGCTCTTTCACTTCCATCGAGTCTGAAACATTAAAACATAATAAGTTGTTAGGATGAGTTCATTCTCTTGTTAAGTCAAAATGTGAATGACAACTGCTGTACAAGATTATGATCTAAGTGCATTTATGTCATATACTCCTAAATTAATTGCTTATTTCTCACAGATCTTATGATTGGTATGTATCTAACAATAATATATATATATTAGGGCTGTCAAAATAACGCGTTAATTTCGATTAATTAATCTGAGAAGAAATAACGCGTTAAAAAAATAACGCAGATTAATCCATTCCGTTTTGACCTTTGCGGAGCCGTTCTAGCCGTAGCCACCATTCGTGTAAAAAGAAGGAGGGAGACAAGAACGCGCTGCTTGGATCATTGTTTGACGGAGTTCGTCAACTCTAAAGTACCACATCAATGCAAAGCATCCAGGAGTGTGTGCGTGAGTCGGTGAGTGTGTCTGAGAGAAAGGGCGCTTGTGCGTGTGTGTGTGTGTTGTAACTTTTCACGCGCTCTCACGTCACACAACCATTTTCTCACGCACAGAAAAATCGCGCACCAAAGAGAGGACACGGAAACAGACAAGACAGACGTTATTGTGATATTAAAAAAATCTCAGCTCTAAGATTCTGTCAATTTTATTACGAAAATCAAACAATAAATACCGTTGGCGCTTGTAAATGTGACATGACAGATCCCTATAGCGGCACGTGAACCGATCATCTCTAGCTAATAGTAAATAAACACGAATGAACAATGTTGAAAGATACAGTAGAGCAGCCTAAAACTTACCGAAATATATTTCTCGATCAATCAGTGTTTTTCAACCGCGAAAAGAGGTCAATAAAACAGCTGGAGAACAATTATGTCACATAACATTTAGCCTAAGTTACCTCAGGAAAGCCATTTCATGACCATATGATAGCACGTTATAGTTGGCTATAAAAAAAGAGCTATAGAGAGTGTTTTTCTAAATTTATGTAGCCTACTACTATATTACATATGTAGCCTATTATATTTTTTACTTATATCAAGGTTGTTATTTGTAATAAACACGCATTATATTTAATTTGAGCTATTTTTAAAGGTGACCTATAATTCAAAATTGAATTTACCTTGGTATAGTCAAATAACAAGAGTTCAGTGCATGGACATGACATAGAGTGAATCTCAAACTGGACTGTTTTCGCGTTCTCATTTAATTCACGTTTATGAAAAACACCCCTGAAAAACGGTCGGTTCTCCACACAATACCGACTGTGACGCAATAGTCGGGATCATTAATATATGCGCCTCCAGGGCCGTTTGAAGGAATTTGGGGGCCCCAAGCAAAATGGACATGGAGGCCCCCCAAGCGCCCCCCCCCAACCCACACACACACACCCTTACACACACTTTATATGAATAAAAAAGGTTTACAGTGCAAATACTGCTGTTGCATACTGTGCATAAAAAAATAAAAAATTACAGTGACATAAGCTATGAAAAAATCATGTTCCTCTGCCTTTTTCAGGTTAAATAATGTTTATAGATGGGTAAGGTTACAAATTATTTATTAAGTAAAAAGTCTGTTTGCTAACAGTTAAATGACAATTAACTAAATATTAAATAACTAACAATTTACCATCTATTAATGATTGTTATTTTAAAGTGTTACAGAAAACTTAAAGATATGTTAGCATTTCCATATTTTGATATTAGAAGGGAAGGGATGCTGCTTTCACTACCAATCAGAGGTGTAGTGGTAAAAAAAGAGGTGGGTAAACTATAAATTCTGGTGGACCACGAGGTGGTCACCCGGTAAGGTGGGCCACTGCCTACCGGTGTATGTGTATCCTGATGACATTGCTATAGGCAGGGCTCGAAATTAAGCCTTTTCATACGCTTGTCCTTTGGACAAGTAAATCTGTCATTCGAATGAAGTGATCACTTGTCCGAGTAAAAAAGTTTCTCGTCCGGATTTTTTTTTTTGTTGTTGATTTATTCTGAAACAATATTCTCATCAGTGTAAAATCAGCTTTGATATTTAAATCGGCATATTGTAAAATGCCGATTTAAATATAGGGCGTCACTGAAAAATTACAATTGCATAAAATAATGTTATGAACTTGATTTAAATTTACAAATAAGAAACGTTGGAAAGAATGATCTACTTTTAAATATAACACTAAACCGCCAGTAGGTGGCGGCAGGCGACCGTCTTAATGAGTGAGTCATTAATTAATAAATTCAAACAATTTGTTCAAAGGGCTGATTCATTCAAGAATGAGACAGATGTTTATGAATGGGTCATTGAATCTTTGACTCAATCGATTCGTTCAAAATGCGGAATCAATCAGTAATGAAAACAGCGAGTGTTCCTGTGAGATGCGCCGTGGTTCTGCTGTGATTTTTGTTTGGAACTATTTTCGCTGCTGAAACAGAACAAAAAACAGCCAATATTGCATCTAAAATGTAAGTGAATTAATTTTAACTGTTTATTGAACTGTTGTAGGAAATCAATGTCTCATTTTCAATCGTGATGGTGTTCAGGAAAAATTATTGAGGTTGCTTAACATAAAACTCCACATTTAGATTTTTATAGGCAGTATGTTGTTAACTGAGTGTGTGCGCGCGCTCATTTGTGTAGATTTCTGCTCGAGAGGCTGCGCGAGCGTCAACAGCGCAACCTTACCGACCGTCAGTAATAGTCAACAACACTGACAGTAATGCAGCGCAATATGAAAGAGTTCGTCTTAAGTTTAACAACCTATGAAACTAATAATGAACAATATGAAACTAAAACGACATAAGCTTAATTTATAGCTATTTAGAGGTGGATAAACGCAATTTAGAGGTGGATAAACGCACTTTGGAGGTGGGTAAACGCTATTTCCGAATATTGGGAGGTGCGTAAACGGCGTTTACGTGCGTTTAGCCTCCACTACATCCCTGCTACCAATGCTTAAAAACATCCCAAGCTAATGTTTGATGCACGGAATTTATTGTGTGGTTTTCCTAACCCCCATTGGTAAATAGATTATCACGGTGGAATAGTTATGCTATGCCACTTTCATCAAAACCTATTAGCTATAGCAATGTCATGTCATTAAATACGATAAACAGTGATTCTGGAACTCCTTAAACCATTAAAAAACATATTACAGTATGCAACGTTAACCATATTCCGTCCCTTCGAAAAAAAATTTGCACTAACTGTTCGTTACAAGCAGCATTTACCGTCAGGCAGGTAGCTAACATAAACATATTTTTGCTAGCCTAATGTTACCTGCTGCAAAATACACCATTTGTACAAGACAAGTAGAGCTATTTTTATGCAGTGTAATTTATTACTTTACCACTATCTGGTATTTTTCTTAACCTTCTCTTCCTTTCTTTTCTGGCTTCCTGAAGCATAATTCCGCTTCATGATAACTCCCGAGGAGGTTTGTATTTTGCCGGTAGCAGAGATCGCGTGGTTGCATGGCTGGCTGCTGTCAGCGACTACTGAGGGGGCCCCCTTGAGGGGGATTCCGATAACAGTGTCATTGCACTTTACTGCATTGACTATCAAAGGGGCGCTCACAGTTTGTCGTTGCATTTTATTCTTAAACAGTCGTTGTCTTGGGGCCCCAGTCCAGCTCGGGGCCCCAAGCAATTGCTTGGTTTGCCTGTCCTGTTCCGACGGGCCTGTGCGCCTCCAAATATTTGCATAATGCCAGCCCTCAATGCCAGGCGGAACTGCGCAGCCGAAGCATGGCAGTTGCTCAGTGTGGATGTACACATGAACACAAAAGTATTTTTTAGTTCCTTCACCTGAGCCTCTGAAGAAACAATGGGTTAATTTTATTTTCTCTGGAAATTTCCAAACATTTCACAGACGACTGTTTCCTCAACTTGGGCCAATACAGAGCTGGCCTCGGATCGAGCTACCAAGCAACACTTTCTGATGTGTAATTGTTCGAGTTCAGACAGGTAATCTTTCTCTCAAAATCGTTCAATACTGTTTATGCATCAGTAAGTCAAGCCAGTGACTAAAATATCAGCTTCACATCGTTTCTTTTAGTAGGATGAAAATAATCGTATTTAAATTGTGAACAAATTATATACAGAAAGCGATCAAAGAACAATCTTTCCACACAGCGCGAGTTTATCTGGACACTTGCCAAACTCGTTATGAAATCAATGACGCACGTTACTGCACAACGAAGCTCTTACTGTATTTACATCATCGTGTTTGCATTGGTGAAAGCAAAGAGAGAAAGCAAAAACATCTCACGATTCGTTAATCTCGATAGCTGTTATAGTAAAAACGTATAATAGCAGTAGTAAAAGTATTCGGGAGAGAGTTTCACATGTAATGCGTAGCTATTTCATATGCAAGCATGTCAGCCAATCACAGCAGTGGCCGCGGTTACACTGAATCCCACAGCAGA